TTTTTGCCTAGGGCGGCAAAAAAGCCAGAGCCGGCCCTGGGTGTAGTAGTGAGCATGTAGCTATGGGTTCAAATGGGGAACCAGTGACGGCCCGAAGGACTAGGCGGAGGTCCCATGGTGTAGTAGGATCACGTAGTTCTGGGTAGACGTTGGTGAGGCCTTTGAGGAAACATTTGGTGAGCAGGTGAGCAAACACAGAACGTTGATCCACTTTGTGGTGAAAAGCTGTGATAGCAGAGAGGTGTACTCTTATTAAACTCATGGATAGGCCAGACCTTTTATGTTCTAAGAGATAATCTAATATTGAGGGTAAAGAGCTAAGTTCCCTGTAAGCTACGCAGCCATGCAGCAGCCTATTTAGTGCCATGCAGGTGCTCAGGGAACGCACCCGGGGACCTGCCAGGGGAGGGGCGGCTTGAACCCAGCCCGAACCTGCTGCAGCTGGGGGCACCCCTTCCCCGGCTTTGGGCATTCCCGTCAGGGGAGGCTTTTGCCCCCAGAGAGGCTGCTGCATGATAGCACTGGGTATTGTAAAGGTATGCACCGAGGACCATGTCGCCGCTCTGCATAAGTCCTGGATTGGAACCTGCACTAAGAAGGCTGCCAAAGAATCTTGGGACCTTGTGGAGTGAGCTGTTAAGTTCGACTGAGGGGGAACGCCTGCGAGGTCGTAGCATGTTCATATACAGGATGTGATCCAAGATGAGATCCTCTGGGAGGAGACCAGAAGCCCTTTTATTCTGTCAGCCATAGCAACGAAGAGCTGGGCCGACCTATGAAACGGTTTGGTTCTTTCAATATAAAATGCCGGAGCATGTCTGACGTCCAGGGGGTGCAGTCGTTGCTCTTCGCTATTCACGTGAGGCTTAGGGTAGAAGACCGGTAGAAAGATAGCCTGGTTGTAGTGGAATTGGGACACAACCTTTGTGAGGAATTTTGGGTGCGGCTGCAGCTGTACCTTATCTTTAAGAAAACTGTATATGGTGACTCTGCTGTGAGGGCTCGGCTCTCCGAAACCCTCCTTGCCGAAGTAATTGTGCTTATAATGGCGCTATCAGCGCGCAACAGCAGGGGGCGCCGGCACCGAGGCTATGGATACCACTAGGGGAAAAATCTTCGACAGTTGTGCTCGGGGCACTCGCACACCTAAATCGGAATGGACATGTGCAATCACTTGAAGAAGAACTGCGAACAACAGCAGAGGCACACACATTGGGGCTATTGCCTGAGGAAAGGGACTCAAATGAAGGCTAGGGGAATGTTTCCATTACTCTACTCTTGCAGCTACCCAAAAGCTGAGGAAGTGGAAGACTAGCAGACACACTGCAACCTCCAAACGTCAACAGCCAGGAGGCTATGGAAGGTCGGAAACAGAGGCTTTGGGATGGGAAAAGGAGAGCGGGCAGGGAGATATACTTAATATACCATACTGACAAGAAAGGCTGGGGTCCCCAGTGAGGGTCCAGGAACAGCACTGTGGCTGGAGTCTCAACACCCTCTTGGTTTCTCAAAGGCTGGATTCTATCTTGGGCATTGCTCCTGAACAGCAGGGCCCCCACATCTTAACTGGCTGGTTAGACCTCTGACTATTAGGGCCTGGACATTTTCACTAGATGCCTAGGTATTGGTATGTCTGTGAGAGAGGCCAAAAGACAGAGAGATTGAGATAAGGTAAGTTAGTAAAGAAGAAAGGTACAGAATTTGTGGGGGAGAAGGGGAAGAATAAAGGTGACAAAAAGGAGGAAGTGGGGAACAAGAAGAGAAGACAGTGCTCTGTTGCAGGAAAGAAAGTTAAGTAAAGACAGGAAGGGAAAAAAAGATTTAACAAAACAGGGATGTAACAAGAAGGACTGATCAAACAGTACTCAACAAATATATTATTTTGAAGTATTTTAACAGTATTAGTTGAAGAATTTCCCTCAGATTTTTGTGGTATGTGACCAGTTCTATAACTGGTGAAATATTTAGTACATTTGACTACTGGTAGAAATACTGGTCAAATATAGTCTAAGAATATTTTATTCCACTATTCGACCAACCACAGTAGTAAGTCAGGTTTGCAAATCATTTGTTAAATCGAAAATTGACTGACAGCATGTTACAATTAAATTAAGTATACAAACCATGCACAAGTGCTTTATTCCTTTACATTACAGGGGAAATGGTGTCACAAGTATTACATATGTTGGATAACAGATGTCAATTCTTGGTGGTATATTCAAGGGCAGCCTTAGACTAAAATAGCACATATGCTACAGGTCTGCACAAGCCCCTCTACTATACCTAATTTAGGAATAGAGGGCTTCTAGCACTGTGAATCTAATACTAAATAGAGGTACTTTAAAAGTTTATAATAATTCAGATCCAAGTATTTGAACATGACGTTTATGCTTACCTTATAAAAATAGAATGGTCGGAGATCAAGAACCTCAATAATCCAAGGGAAAGTTCGCAGTGAGCTATATGCAAATAGCACAATCTCCAAACAACATGCTATCAGGGAACGATGGAAAATATCTTGCTCCAAGAGAGCCTAGATAGGACGTAGAAATGGTTTTCAGCCACATCATTAAGGAGTTACTCAAATATATTTTCTTAAATGATACTAGAGAGACTGAACTACTGAGAAAGAACAGCATTCTCCTTGCCCCACACACACAAACTCTATCCACATTAGATGAAGTATGATGATTTGATCTGCTAAGGCCTGCATTAAAAAAATATAGAATAAGAATTTAAGTTTTGTTTTAAACCATACCCTGAATTTACTATCCATTAATTAAAACTTAATTGAATTAAGATTTGGGATATGGAAAAAGTTACAGAAGAGGGAGCACTGAAAAAGAAATCAAGAGACAAAGGACATAGATTCCAAGGCCAGAAGGCCTTGTGATCATCTAGTCTGATCTCTTGTATAACAAAAGCCAGAGAACTTTGCCAAAATAATTCCTAGAGCAGATCTTTTAGAAAAACATTCCATCTTGATTTAAAAATTGTCAGGGATGGAGAATCCACCACGATGCTTGGTAAATTGTTCCAATGGTTAATTACCCTCACTTTTAAAAATGTACCCCGTATTTCCAGTCTGAATTTGTCTAGCTTCAACTTCCAGACATTGGATCATGCTATACTTGTGTCTGTTAGACTGAAGATCCCATTATCAAATATTTGTTCCCCAATGTAGGTACTTCTAGACTAATCAAGTCACCCTTTAACCTTCTTTGTTAAAATAAATAGATTGAGCTCCTTGAGTCTATCACTATAAAGGCACAAAAATGATTAAAGGTCTAGAAAACATTACCTATGAGGGAAGATTAAACAAATTGGGTTTGTTTAGTCTGAAAAAGAGAAGACAGAGGGGACATGATAACAGTTTTCAAGTACATAAAAGGTTGTTAACGAGGAGGGAGAAAAACTGTTTTTCTTAATCTCTGAGGATAGGACAAGAAACAATGGGCTTAAATTGCAGCAAGGGAGGTGTAGGTTGGACATTAGGAAAAACTTCCTAACTGTGAGGGTGGTTAAGCACTGGAATAAATTGCCTGGGGAGGTTGTGGAATCTCCATCATTGGAGATTTTTAAGAGCAGATTAGACAAAAACCTGTCAGGGATGGTCTAGATAATACTTAGTCTTGCCATGAGTGCAGGGGACTGGACTAGATGACCTCTCGAGGTCCCTTCCAGTCCTATGATTCTATGTTTGGTAATCCATTAATCATTCTTGTGGCTCTTCTGTGAACCCTGTCCAATTTATCATGTCATTTAACCTGTCTGTTCCACTCTTTACAGCCAGATTTGCTGACTTATAAGTAGTACAGGTGCTGACACACTGGAGAAAGAATAGCAGATAAATCAATTGTATTACAACTAGCACCTTGCTAAATTATGACAGTTTAAGCTACAAAAAGGAAACTTCCAGTGGTATACTTAAGTATCGTACTACGTTCAACTACTTTACATATTTGTTCCCTGAAAGATCAATTACTATTTCTTTTGCCCTTTCCATTATTTCCTGCTTTTCGGAAAGTTTCAAATGGTAAAGGCTGGTTTTATAGTTGTTTATCTAGTAATAATGCAAGTCGAAGGGGAAGCAGACCTACAGTGCCAATGACAGTAAAGCTGCTTTGATACTATGGGTAAAAGGATAAAAGCCTGCTCCCCAGGGGTTAAAGCAGAATGCAAGGTGTGCTAGCTGCAGTTACTGCAAAGCAATACAGGCATTTTCTTGAAGACGAAAGAGGAGAACAAAAATGCCTTGCCCAGCATCTATGTTCTAAAAGACAATATAGGCAAAGACAATTAGCAGTTGTAGGTACCTTCATATATAGTTATTATTGTCAAACGCTAGTCTATTCAGGTATTGTGATGAAGTGAGGTTTTATTCATTTTGTTATGTTGCATCTTGTTATGTGAGTCTTACTGTCCTATACTAATACTGTGTGTACCTTAGTTTCCCTGTGTACTGCACCAATACTTAGGTGGTGGAAATTGGGTGTGTGATTTTGCTGAGGCCCTTGGGGCAGGTGAGACTGTCCTACTATTTGCACCTGTGTAATCTGAGACCCAGGAAGAGGGTTTGACCAGGTGCCTTTGGCCCAGGAAAAGAGACAAAGGCCAGAGGAGTGGCTGGAGAGTTTCAGTTTAGAGCTGGCTGGGGAAACGGAGGGAGTCCTAGAACTGGGGTCTGGGCTCCCTACCCCCAAGATGGACCTAACTGAGGGGTCCTGTTCTCTGTAGCTACAATCTCTGTTTTAGACCGCGTTCCTGTCGTCTAATAAACCTTCTGTTTTACTGGCTGGCTGAGAGTCACGTCTGACTGCGGAGTTGGGGTGCAGGGCCCTCTGGCTTACCCAGGAGCCCCGCCTGTGCGAACTCGCTGTGGGAAGCGTACGGTGTGAAAAGGGGATGCTGAATGCTCCGAGGTCAGACCCAGGAAGGTCGAAGCTGTGTAAGCTTCTTACCCTAGAGACAGTATGCTCAAGAGAGAAGAGGCATGCTCCCCCAAAGTCCTGACTGGCTTTGTATGGAGTGATTCCAGAGCATCGCCCAGTGACTCCGTGACAGGTATATATCACATATCAGACACATACGAGTTAGGAAAAAAAGGAGATATCAGTATTAAATGCAGATGAAAGGAATCATTTGAGATGCAGGAGAGAAGCATAACATACTGAAGAAAAACAATCTTGGAGAGAAATATTTGCAAGTCACTTTTCTTTATCAGTTCAAATTACTTGACGATCCAGTTTTTGATTTAAAATCAGGTAAGATTTCACCTTTGTTGTAATTAGGGATGTAAAATATTAAACAGTTAACTGGTAAGCATTAGTCTTACCCATTTACTCACCCTAACCGTTAGCCCCAGTCCCAAGCCAAGCCAGCCGGCCAGAGCAACCTTCCCTTTAATCAGAGCCCCTCTCCCTTTAATCGGTTAACCGATATAATTTTAATCATTTAAATGGTTAACTTTTAAAACGATATTTACATCCCTAGTTGTAATACAGCAGAGTATGTAGGATTTAGTACACAGCCATAAGAAAATATAAGGAAGGAACTATGTTAGTTGAAAGACTAGTAGTACTGAACAAATATTGAGCTCTCAGGAAACTACAACTGGGTCAAATGTCTTGAAATAATCTCATTTAAGGAATGAAATTAATATTAAACTGGAAAATTGAGCCCATCAATCCGCTATTAGCTAGTCAATAGACAAGGAACCAATTCTACCCTCAGATTGATTTAAATGGGAGCTGTGTGGATTGACCCAAATACATAATTTTTCTGAAAGTATTCACAAGGGTGAACTTAAAGAAGAAGAGGCTCTTCTGTTCCAGTTCTCTACTTACTGTCATGTCCTTCCCATGCAATCTTCGTGTTTCTTGTACCACTATCGTCTCCAAAATTTTGTAATACAAAATCTCTGCCAGTTTTAGTCTGTTAACAGCAAAATCTGCAATTGAAACCAAACATTGCTGAAAGCTTGTATTCCAAGTCAGCAGTTGGGAGGGGGGAGGAGGAGGAGGGGATGAATAAACAGTCTTGATTAAGTTAACCAGTATTTTACTTTCCATAACAGAAACACACGTGTGCTGTAAGCCAAGAGGAAATACTACTCTGAATGTCTTTAGTAATGCTATGTGAAACAAACCTTACATGCAATTAACATATTTCATACTCTTTAGATGTTCATACTTTAGGAATGTTTATGTGTAAGGTCTCCACTCCAGTTTTGTAAAAGTCTTCTGAATTTCAAATATGTAATGAGTTGCATTAACACCCATACAGGAAAGTTCATTTAATTAAGAAACTTTTTTCCCCACTTCTTAGGCAGATTTATAGTCTCTTATTAAGAGTTTCAATACAATTTCTTTCAAGTCCCATTTTGAACTACAGTAACTCCTCGCTTGACATTGTAGTTATGTTCCTGAAAAATGCCACATTAAACAAAACGATGTTAAGCGAATCCAATTTCCCCATAAGAATTAATGTAAATGGGGGGAGTTAGGTTCCAGGGAATTTTTTTTCACCAGACAAAAGACTATGTATAATTATATATACATACACCCAAACACATACACACAGAGTATAAGTTTTAAACAAACAATTTAATACTGTACATAGCAATGATGATTGCGAAGCTTGATTGAGGTGGTGGAGTCAGAGGGTGGGATATTTCCCAGGGAATGCCTTGCTGCTAAATGATGAACTAGCACTCGACTGAGCCCTCAAGGATTAACACATTGTTGTTAATGTAGCCTCTCACTCTACAAGGCAGTATGAATGGAGGGAGAAGAGACAATAGAAGCGTGGCAGTGGCTGCAAACATTCCCTGTGGAAACTGAACATGATGATGAACCCACACTATCCCAGTGGAGCTCACCACTCCCTCCACTTTCCAAAGTGCTGGGGGGGTGGCGTGGGTGAAAGACACGGCAGTGGGTGGAGGGACACCTGAACTGCCCAGCAATTGATAGCCTGCTGGGCGGCTGCCGCACAGGGAACTTAGGGGAGCTGATAAGGGGGCTGCCGGCCCACCCTGGTTCCAAGCCCCCACCAGCTAGCTCCAACGGCTGCTCTTCCTGCAAGCAGTGGACAAAGCAGGCGGCTGCCAAACAACATTATAAGGGAACATTGCGCAACTTTAAACGAGCATGTTCTCTAATAGATCAGCGACATAACGATGAAACACCGTTAACCGGGACGACGTTAAGTGAGGAGTTACTGTATAACCTTGCATGATTTCATTCAACTCTGTACAATGTCCTGTTTGGTAGTTATTAACCTGTTGCAATGAAAAGATGCAACAAGTTTTGAACCAATGAGTAGCGGTTCAATATTTTTAAAGTTATTATTGCCTTTACTAAGGCATCCCTTATTTATTAAAGTAAACTTTTCAATGCAATATTCTTACTATCTTATAAATGTCTCAATAGGAGTTGTACTGAAGGCACCTTCACCTCCATGGAGTTGGGATTGATCTATGGATGAAATGTCCCAGAAACCACACTATAAGGACATTTATCTCTTCAAAATTTTGATCAGCCTGGCTCAATCAATGAGGAGCTGGAGTAATATTAGTACATTTCTATGCAGTGAGTTGCCCCTCCATTGAAAAGTCAGTTTTCATCTACACCAATCGTTCATTTTACTAAGTACATGAAGAATCAGCCCAAGCATTTTTTCTTCCCATAAACGTGTCGCCTTTGATACACAAGCGATGCACTTCAATATGCTGAAACATTCTATGCATTTCACATATTCCTACCTATGTGAGATCCTGGCTGGTCATCTGTTGACTGAGTATAACTCCGACAGAAAGCCTCACCTATTTCTTTAACTCGATTCATGATGCTTTCCATAGGGTTGCGTACACAAGACCTATAGCAGGACCCAGAGAGAAACCTCATTTGTATATTACAGAAACATAAAAAAGCCCCCCCGATAGGATTCATTTCACCAAGCTTTCCTCTTGGCAACCAGTGTCCCATCCTGTGATGTATTTTACACTCTGGACAGCACTCATTCAAAAAGGTTTACAAGCTAACCAGAAAAAGAGATAGTCTGTGGGTTTTAATACTATTACTTGCAAGTCCGATTCTGAACTTTAACCTTGCCTTATTTCATTCTGTTATGTACAACATTCTGTTTAATGGTTACTGACCTGTTGTACACAAAGAAAAGATGCAACATGTGTTCCAGAACAAAGAGTAGCTGTACAATATTTTTTAAAGGCCAAATAGGATTTGATAGTTTGAGAAGACGGAGGGCTTGTCTACACAGTGGAGTAATGCACACTATGGAGGTGTGATTTCTAAAGGGCACTAATTATTGTCGATTAACTGCTTTGAGTAGACCCTGCTGGTGCACACTAAAGACTTCCTAGTGCACTTTAATGTAGTCAAGTACTAGTGCTTACTATGTTAAAGTGTTCTAAGAACTTTAGTGTGCATCAGCAGGCACAGACCAATTAATCCGCAACACATTAGGGTACTTTAGGAATCTCACCCCCATAGTGTGCATTACTCCCTATGTAGACAAGCCCTGACTAACTCCATTATCATTTTTGTACATGAGGAGTGCTTGATAAAGAATGTGCTTATATAAACTGAATTCTGTTCTTCAGAGCAGTGCACTAGCTCCCCTCTTTAGAAATAATAATGGACTTTTGTTTCTTTTTAACCTTACATTACTTCTACTTCTATATTATCTTAACAGTATTAAATTACTATGTAATAACTCTGAGCATCCAGACACGGAGATTGTGTGAGGATTTTATAAATTATTTTAACTTATGCAAATTGCTACCACACAATTAAGACCAAAACTGATTTTTTTTTATGGGGGGGCGGGGAGAAAGGAGGAAGAGACAGAAGAAACCTATTGATTCAAATTTTAAAAAAAGGAGGAAATGGATAGAAATTAATACTAGTCAGAGTATATCGCCTCAGTACTTTGATATCCATATAATATTTGCACCAGGGATAACTTGGGCTCCCAATAATTTACCTTTCAGGAGCCCAATCGATTACGATACAATTAGAATGTTCCCCTAGCCTAGACAGTCTATTTAGGAATAGAAGAATATAATGGATTTAATTATGTGACAATGAAATTAGGAATTCTATTTTGTGATATGTTTTGAAACATTGGCACTATGGTTGCACTAGTCTGGACTTGCCCAAAGGCAGCCTTGTTCTGCATTCCAGAGAGCTAACCCAGGCACAAAAAAAATGTTTGTTCACTGAAGGACCATCACTGGTGGAGACAGAGTTTCACAGTTTGAGCATATTGCACAGAACACAAGAACGGCCATACTGGGTCAGATCAAAGGTTCATCTAGCCCAGTATCCTGTCTTCTGACAGTGGCCAATGCCAGGTGCTTCAGAGGGAATGAACAGAACAGGTAATCATCAAGCGATCCATCCCCTCTCGCCCATTCCCAGCTTTTGGAGACAGTGACAGAGGTCTTATTTAAGAGTGGATGCAGCTGTGTGCAGGGAGGCTGATAATTACCACATAAGGGCTCGCAGGAGAGACTGTGCCCAGCCAGAAATCAAACTTCAGATTTCACCCCTTCTGAGAGTCTGAATAGTGCAAAGGGCTCAGAGCTTGTCATTTTTAAACATCTGAATTTCTCAAATGTTTTAAGAGTAAAATCACTGTGGCTAAGCTTCCTCTGTTACGGCTGAGTTCCTTCCTTTCCTTTAACTCCTTCAGAGACAAACTAGAAGCCCAGGGAGTCCACAGCCTTGGTGGAACTCTGGGGGTGCAGATGTAAGCAACTGGGGGGTTCAGGAGGTTCTCAGATTCTAAAACAGCTAGCCGGTGGTGTCCCATGTCCCAAGGAATGGTGTCAAACAAGAGGTCTGAGCCTGGGAATGTGACTTTGAGACCCAAAGCAGTGACTTTGAAAGAGTGGGGGAGGGGAAAGGGGGAATGTCACAGTGGATAATCAGCCAACGAACTCCCAGTGCGACACTATGACCAAAAGGGCTACTGAAATTATTGGATGTGTAAATGGGAATATCAAGTAGAAGTAGAGAGGTTATATAATCTCTTTAGTTGGTACTGGTGCAACTACTACTGGAATACTGTGTCCATTTCTGGTGTCCTCAACATGAAGAATGTTGAATATAGGAGAGAGTTCAGTGAGAAGAGCAATGAGACAGGATTAGAAAACATGCCTTACAGTGACAGACTCAAAGAGCTCAATCTGTTTAGATGATCAAAGAAGATCTGAGGTGACCTGAACACTATATATAAAGTACCTACCTACATGGGGAACAGAAATTTCATAATAGAAAGCTCTTCTTTCTAGCAGACAAAGGTATAACAAGATCCAATGGCTGCAAACTTAAGCTATTCAAATACAAAATAAGGGGCAGATCTTGAAACAATTTACAAGGGTTGTGGTGGATTCTCCATCACTGGAAATTTTTAAGTCAAGAACGGATGTTTTTCAAAAGGATATGCCCTAGTCAAACAGGAATTAACTCAGAGACGTCCCATGAGCTGTGTTATAAAGCGGGTCAGACTAGATGATCATAATGGTCCCTTCTAACTTTATAATCCATGAATATACAAAATTAAACTAAAGTGCATTGGAGGAGCTGAATGCTGAAGACTAATGGCAGGCTCTAGGCTGTGTTCTACTCACTTTCACAACTTGGACTTAAAAGAAGACTGTAACTGCCTCTTTAGTCGGCAGACAGGACTGTCATACACTATTCTCTTCCTTGGTAGGTGACTTCTATCAAACTAGGATTTAATTTGTCCAAATTTGCTTTTGTTAAGAAATAGATTTTTTTTGGTCAAACTTGTTATACCAACAGTGTCAATAAAAAACAAATGCACAAATTATGATTAGCTGACGAGTAAAAAAAAATTTGGCCTATTAATCTAACAGTAAGTAATGAGGTTTTTTTAAAAGCCGTACTTTTCCAGAAGCACAGATTCATTAAGAAATAAAAGGTTTAGTTCCTCACAATAAGGCCTTTCAAATGGAAACACTAAGAAGACAGGTCGGTCTTTTTCCCCAGCAACCCTCATAAAACCCTTTAAAACGACTTGAGTATGGAGTAAAAATGTAGTAGCCTAACAAAACCAAGTCTGAAGAGAGGGATCACCTTTTGTAATGAAAGTAGGGGTAAGTGACATGCTTACTCGAAGATAGCTATAAGCTGTTCACTTGGTGCATTTTTCAACCCAGCCACAATGCTCTGTAACCGGCTCACACTTTGTGTTGCTGAAGCAACAGGAGTGATTACCGCTTCCTTCTCTCTCAGGTATCTCCTTCCTGTCAGTGGTGTAGAAGGTGCAAATGATCTTTTCTGCCAAGTAAGATAGAAAATAAGTTAATCATCAAAAATTATGTTTCTACAGATGTTTTGAGACATGAACTGCAAGGTCATTCACAAAACTCACAGGTACACCACAAACCACAGGGAAAATGAGTATGCCCACACTACAGTCACTACCACAAAATAGGCTGAGATTTAAAGTAAAGTGTTTTTAAGGGCAAGTTCTATAACAAATTACAAACCTAATGAAATCCCCAAACTAAAAGTCAGAAGTTTAAGCAAAGAGAGAAATCAATAAAATACAAGACTTAAACGTCTTAAAAACATAAACAAGAGGTTTAAGTTCACTTAAACACTGACAAATGGTAAAGGCAAGACCACTGCAATGCATAACCATAACTACCTGATGCCACAGAACTACTGTATAATCAACCTCCCCTTTTAATCTAATATATTTATCATACATGCTGCAATTACAATTCAGTTCCAAAGCTCTTATCTGCATGAACCACATTTGGGTTTAAATTATGCATATATTTTACAAAATTTACTAATATTTCAAGTGAAGCAATGACAACCAAAGAAAGCTGAAGCAGTATTTGTAAACACTGAAAGACTATATATAAACAACCAATCTTTTTCACACTGCCCACTGAAAGCCACTTTCAGACACTGCCTCTACTCCCCTTCATGGAAAAACACTTCCCCTATTCTATCCTTGCCTCACTCCATTATCTACAGACCCCAGTTCACTCCTTAGCACAAAAGTTTCCCATTCAGAAGACTGAGCTTCCTTTAGAAGTGAATTAACGTAATTTTAAGAAACAAGTTATTTGATATTAGCAATATTTGGGGCAGATTCCCAGCTGCGACCAAGGAGCATTTGACACAGATGAGGGGGATTCCCCATCCACTTCCAAAGGTGCCCAATTCACTACCAGTCACAGGACTGCTCAGTGCAAGTCTCCCAGTCCAAGTTAAACCAGCCTGAAGGCTGCTCTAGCCTGCACCACATGCCTGCAACCTCCTTATAGTAGCTGTGAATCATCACAGCATGAAGGAGCCCCACCTATGCCATCTTCCCCACCAGCCACTGAAATGGCACTAAAGCTGCTATACCACCTGAGGATCCCCTTACGTGCGAAGAGATCCTCTGGGGGATGGATCCATCTATTTGAAAGCTACTTAATACCAATGAAGTGGCGCAAAGTGGCTGGAGCACAGCCCTGGACTGTATTGATTATATTTTCCATTTCCAAAATTCAAGATATGAATAATGTAAGAAAATATTACTTTTTGTAATATTAAGATGGCTACTTTTCAGAAACGTTGGAAGGATCAAGGTCAGCCAGAGCGTTCAAAGTCACAATTTATAAGTAAACAGAAAGCATAAGAAAGGATCTGCTGTGCTATGAAAATTTAAAAGTTCAAAATGGGCAAAATGAGTTGAAATCACTGCACACTCACTCACTCACTCAATGTCAAATATAAAGCCCAATAGCTTCACACTGTATTGAAGAATGATTTTACAAAACTGATCTGTACCAGTGCTTGCTTCTAGGAACAATTCTTTTTCGCCTGTTTCCAACTTATTTTTGAAACTGTCTAAGCAGCATGAAACTAGTATCACTCATCAACTGTAATTGACACACCATCCTTCAGAGAGACAAGATGGGTGAGGTAATATCTTTTATTCTACCAACTTCTGTTGGTGATAGAAAGCAGCTTTTGAACAACACACAGTTCCTTCTTCAGGTCTAAGCGTCACAGCTAAATGCAAGGTGGAACAGATTGTTTATCATAAGTAGTTAGCATATATTAAGGCAGAGGTTCTCAAACTGGTGGGCGTATTCCACCCCCCCACCCCCCGGGGTGTGTGTGTGCAGAATGTATTCTAGAGGGGGTGGGTGTGAGACGCTTTAGTGGGGGAAAAAACAAAAACAAACAAACAAAACCCTTACTGCACACATTTTACCCACAGCAATGAATAACTAACACAGCTGATTCCTCCAGACATATGAAGTCTTCAGATTGCGCTGTGCAGTTTGATGGATTTCTGCTAAGCTTGCATAGCACTATATAAAAGTTGTTGCCATCTGTACATTAATCCGTTTGCTACAACGTGGTATGCTCATTTAATTGTAAGCATCAACCACAATCGCAGTTTTGCTTTTGCTCTTATTACAATGGATCATTGGCTCATTTGTGCAACAGGAAAAAAAAACACCCCAACTCAAGTGAAAAACAAAGAAGCCAAAACTTTTCTGAACTACTTTACTGTACATTAAAAACTAACAATGATCTAATCTTCAGGTACAAGGAGATCTCCAGATAGCTGTCTCAAGCATCCAACCCAACATGGAATTGTTCTGCTCCAAAAAACAGGCGCACCCATCACACTAGTAACAACAGTGTGATGCCAGTAAGCAGTATATCACTAAAAATTTACATTACTATATACTTAAATGGCTGTTTGAATAAATGCCTTACTGTTTTTAATATTTAGTAAGAGTTGCATGTTGATTTTTTTTTTTTTTAACCGGTATATGTACTGTGTGGCGGCAGGGAGGAGGAACATGAACTACTACAGACACAAAGAAGGGGAGAGTGGTCAAATAAGTTTGAGAACCACTGTATTAAGGGACCATTCAAAGCAGAGTGGCCCCTCTGCAGTCATAGGACAAAAAGAGGGGGTCACTGATTACAGATTGTTATAATAAGTAGGGCCCTACCAAATTCACAGTCCATTTTCGTCAATTTCACAGTCAAAGGACTTTAAAAATTATAAATTTAATTTTTTCAGCTCTTTAAATCTGAAATGTCACGTGTGGTAATTGTAGGGATCCTAACCCAAAAAGGAATTTTGGGAGGGAGGGGGTGTCGCAATATTATTGTAGGTGGTACTGTTTCTGCTTCTCTTCTGCGCAACTGCTGGTGGTGGCACTGCCTGAGAGCTGGGCAGATGGAGAGCAGTGGCTGCTGGCCGAGAGCCCAGCTCTGAAGGCAGAGCCACTGCCAGCAGCAGCGCAGAAGTAAGGATGGCCTGGTATGGTATTGCCACCCTTACTTCTGTGCTGCTGCCTGCAGAGCTGGGCCCTCAGTCAGCAGCTGCCACTCTCCGGTCGTCCAGCTCTGAAGGCAGCAACACAGAAGTAAGGGTGGCCTGATATGGTATTGCCACCCTTACTTCTGCACTGCTGCTGGTGGGGCACCATCGTCAGAGCTGGGCACCCGGCCAACAGCCACTGCTCTCTGGCCACCCAGCTCTGAAGGCAGCACAGAAGTAAGGGTGGCAATACCGCGATCCTCCCTCTAACTCCCTTTTAGGTCAGAGCCCCCAATTTGAGAAATGCCCCTCTCCCCCATGAAATCTGTATAGTACAGAGTAAAAGCACACACAAGACCAGGTTTCACAGGGGGAGGTCAGATTTCATGGTCCATGATGCTTTTTTCATGGCTGTGAATTTGGTAGGGCCCTAGTAATAAGCCATAAATCCAATGTCTCTGTTCAGTCCATGATTTTTAGTGTCCAGCAGTTATGAATTTAAGCTCCCAGGCTCGTCTTTTGAAAGTATCATGCAGGTTTCCTTGAGGATGACGACTGATAGGTCAGAGTGATCAGTTTGGGAAAGTGTTCACCCACAGGAGATAGGGTGTTTTTGTCTTTTATCATTTTCCTGTATGAGATCATTTGAGAGCATAGTGATTGTCTGGCTTCACCCACATAGTTGTTATTGGGGCATTTTGTGCACTGGATGAGCTATACCACATGTTGTGATAAGCACGTGTAAGATCCATGGATCGTGAAAGGTGTGTGTGGGGGTGTTGATCATTGTAGCAGTGGAGATATGTCTGCAGGTTATGCATCTGTTATTTTGTCAAGGTCTGGTGCTGCTTTGAGTTGGTGTGTCTTGATCTGTGGCAAGCCTGCTTATGATGAGCTTAGCAAGGTTGGGGGTTGTTTGAATGCCAGAATTGGGGGTTCAGGCAAGATTTCTTTGGAGGATGGGGTCCCCATCAAGTATGGGTTGTAACTGTTTGATGACACCCCATCCATATAGGTTCCAGTGGGATGGTAGGCAACAACTAGGGGTGTGCAGTTGGAGGGGTTTTTATTTCTGCATTGAAGCAGGTTCTCTGAGTATTTAGGTGGCCCGTTCCATGATGTGATCTACTTCTCTGGTCGAGTGTCCTTGTTTGGTGAAGACAGTTAAGTGTGTTAAGGTGTATATTCCAGACTTTCTCCTTGGAGCATATTCTTTGGTATCTGGCTGTAGATAACAGAGTCTTTGGTGTGTTCTGGGTGGTTACTAAATCTATAAAGGTAGGTGTGGTGGGTTTCTTGTATATGTTTCTCTATACAGTTTCACTGCTGAAGCTGATTGTGGTTCCCAGGAAGTTGATGCTAGTGTGGAAGTGTCCCAGAGAGAGTTTAATGTATGGTGGTCGTGGTTGAAGTTATGGGGAAAATCTATGGACAGACAGCTTAAACTCCCTCAGAGGATGGAAATATCATTGATGTATCTCAGGTATACCACTGGTTTCATGGTGCATTTTTCCGGAAATAATTCTTCATTAAGAGGTTGGCATATTGGGGAGCCATCCTAATACCCATGGCTGCTCCCATGGTTTGGGCAAAATGTTTGTTGAATGTAAATGTTATGGGTATGGATGAAAAGGATGAGAGGGTTGTCTATTGTCTTGTAAATATCTGAAGCAGGCAGCTACGCTGTCATTGTGATAGATGTTGGTGTATAGAGAAGTGACATCAATGTTGGCAAGAATGGTGTTCTGAGGGAGGTTGTTAATATTGCAGTGTTTGTGGAGTAAGTCATTGGTATCCTGGAGGAAGCTGGCCCTTTGTGTGGGGGTGGTTTGAGGATGATTTCTGAGAGTACCAATATTCCTTCAGTTAGAGTGCCTTGGCCAGATATGATGGATCTGCCTGGGATCCCTTGTTTGTCTATCTTGGGAAGCATGTAGAAGGTCCCTGGGGTGGGTTCATGCGGATGAGTTTGTAGATTTTCTCTTGGAGTTGTTGTTGTTGTGGGGGGGGGTTGATGATATCCTTAAGTTCCTGAATAAACTGTGGTGTGGGGTCATCTTTGAGTTCCTTATAGTAAGTGGTGTTGGAGAGTTGATGGTTGGCCTCATTAACGAAGTCATCACGTTTGAGTACAACGGCACCCTCTTTGTCTGCTGGTTTGATCACTATCTTGTGGTTAGATTTCAGTGATTGTATGGCTGTCCTCTCGGCAGTGGAGAGATTATGGTGGATATGATGTTTGTTAAGGATTTTATAGTCAATTTTTTTCCTGAAGCAATCAATGTAATGATCAAGAGTGTGGGTTCAACTGCTCTGTGATGTCTAGTCATAGGATTATTTTTTCTTATGATTGTCGGTGGGAATGTGGTAACTGTGAGTGGTGTCGTCACTGTTGTGGAAGAATTATTTGATGCAGGGATGGCAGAACAACTCTTCTAGTTCTCCATGTTAGAATGGTATCAGGTACTGTGGTGGGGCAGAAGTTCAGTCCCTTAGAGAGTACAGATAATTCAGCTCCAGTGAGGGGTAGTCGTTACAAATTGACGAAGTTTGGGTGTCGTTTAGTGTACGTGTGATGGGCACTGGTGCCTTGGTTTCACCCAGAGATGGTGTTCTGTGGGTTGAATGGTCCCTTAGAATATGTACTTACTACTTATGCTAAACAAACAATCTGTTCCACCTTGCATTTAGCTGTAACTCTCGGAATACCTTTCCCCCATCTGAAGAAGAGCTCTGTGTGGCTTGAAAGCTTCTCTCTCTCACTAACAGAAATTGGTCCAATAAAAGATATTACCTCACCCACCTTGTCTCTCTAATATCCTGGCTACAACTACCCAGTATACCCCAGCTTTCTGACAGCTAATTCTTATTTTTCCCCTTAGTTTTTCTTTTAAAGTGACCACTGAAAATATTTTCCCCATTCCCATCTCAAACACCAGTTTAAGATACACCTCTACCCCGATATAATGCGGTCCTATAGAACGCGAATTCGGATAGAACTTGGTAAAGCAGCGCTCCGGGGGACTGGGCTGCTTTACCTCGTTATATCCGAATTCTGCGCCCACCCGTTACTTGCTGCAGCACTCCCTGGGGCCCCCCCGCCCCAGCTCACCTCTGTTCCGCCTCCTCCCACGAGCACGCCGCAGCTCCACTTCTCCTCCCTCCCAGGCTTGCCACCAAGCCTGGGAGGGAGGAGAAGCGGAGCTGCGGTGCGCAAGCCTGGGAGAGAGGAGAAGCGGAGCTGCGGCACGCTCGTGGGAGGAGGCGGAGTGGAGGTGAGCGGGGGCAGGGGGGCCATAGCAAGGGGGGGCGCAGAGGAACCGCTCCCCGCCCCAGCTCACCTCCGCTCTGCCTCCTCCTCCTCCTCCCACGAGCACGCCGCTCAGCTCCGCTTCTCCTCCCTCTCAGGCTTGCTGCGCCAAACAGCTGATTGGCATGGCAAGCCTGGGAGGGAGGGAGGGAGGGAGGGGAGGAAGAAGCAGAGCAGATAGATATAATGAACAATATTCTTGGGTCACACGTAAAATGTATTTTTCCCATTTCTGACAAACAGTGGGCATTGAAACCTGCATATGTAAATAATAATAGTGAAATAGACAGGTTACATTACTTTTTCAAAATGCTGCTGAAGATGACACTCCACATGAGCTCTTGTTGTTGTTTTCCCCACTGGCATGTCAACAGCAAACTTTCGGGGAGTTCCAATTTCTTCTTCTGCATCTGCTCCTAAGAAAACCCTCTCATCAAAGTCACCCACTGATAAAACATACTCTTCATACTCCTTATTCAATGCTTTGCTGAAAAAGAAGCCATACTGCATTTATTAAGAGTTAAGCTGTTAAAGAAGCCAGACAAACTAGCCAATGGAATTAGTCTATACAGTTGAAAGCAATGAATAGTCAAAACATTTATTAATTTTAGTAATAGCACTCCGTGATTGGAAACTAACCAATATCAGTAATAGTGCACATGCTAATGAATGACTTGACTCCCCTTTTTCTAACACCATATCCTAATGGTTCTCAACCTATTTACCATTGTGGGCCGCATATGCAGTTCTCTGTGTGTTATGTGGGCCGCATTCACACAATATATATACTACCTGTATGGCCCTGAGGATGTCACATGGGTTGCAGCTGTGTGGTGATTGGGCCGTAAGCGGACCATGGGCCACAGGTTGAGAACCCTGCCCTATCCTGATTCTCTTGGGCTCACTGCAGGACCTGGTCTCCTTGGCCTCTCTTGCCGCTGGTGACCCTCCAAGACTTGGTTTCCAGTAAGTATTGGAGCAAGTGAGTTAAGCTCTGCTCCCACTGGAAAATGAAACAGCTGTGGAGCAGAGTTGAGATGTTTCTTGCATGTATAAATGGCTTAACTTTATCATTGCTTAAGATCATCATCCAGCACTTACTTGTTATCTGCAAAGCTGCAAAAATCCAAGAGGCAGTCTCCTTTTAAAATCTGGAAACAAGAGAGTTGAAAAATAAGATTACATGTAATGCAATTTTTAAAAAGTAGTAAATCCAAAACCTGTTCAATTCCAGAAGAGTGGAAGCATGATAGTTTAATTGTAATGCAGATTATTAGGATCAAAATCATTCTCTGGATTTTTGCTGCACAAGACCAGTGAGGATGAATTTGTTGTATAGATGACATCTCAGCAGTATAAGGCTCCTCACTCTCACAATGTTTTGCTAGATCCTAGCCATAGAACTATGCTACCAACCATCCCCATAGGTAGCGTATAAAATTGTTTTATAACATAGTTCTCACATAATTCTCAGTCAGAAAGTTCCTGTCCAGAATGATCACAATGCTAGAATCCTGCTGGTATATTTAAACACTGTTGTCACTAGCACTGTTCTGCTCCCAGTATAGAGAGGGCCTTAGCCAGTCCACATAATGGAGTTTCAGAATCAAGAGGAGAAGGCAGTCCTCTGCTAGTGTATAACTGGGGAAACAAAACAACAAAACCCCCACAACCCTGATTAATCTCTCTCCTTCATAGAAGAATAATGTTTAAACAAAAATACCCACTTCTGCCAAAATGCCCAACTACCAAAACCTGTGCCAATCACTGTGTCCATTTGCCTCTATGTTATATCCCCACGTGCACTCCTTTGTTTATGTATAAGGATCATTTCTTTATATGGATACTACCATTTTAAGAACGTAAGAATGGCCTCACTGGATCAGACCAAAGGTCCATCTAGCCTAGTATCCTGTTTTCCGACAGTAGCCAATGCCAGGTGCTTCAGAGGGAATGAGTAGAATAGGTAATCATCAAGTGATCCACTCCCTGTTGCCCATTCCCAGCTTCTGGCAAATAGAGGCTCAGGACACCATCCCTGCCCATCCTGGCTAATAGCCATTGATGGACCTATCCTCCATGAATTTATCTAGTTCTTTTTTGAACCCTGCTGTAGTCTTGGCCTTCACAACATCCTCTGGCAAAGAGTTCTACAGGTTGACTGTGCGTCGTGTGAAGAAATACTTCATTTGTTTTAAACCTGCTGCCTATTAATTTCATTTGGTGACCCCTAGTTCTTGTGTTAGGAGGAGTAAATAACACTTCCTTATTTACTTTCTCCACACCAGTCATGATTTTATAGACCTCTGTCAGATCCCTCTTAGTTGTATCTTTTCCAGGCTGAAAAGTCCAGTCTTATTAATATCTCCTCATATGGAAGCTGTTCCATACCTCTAAATATTTTTGTTGCCCTTTTCTGAATCTTTTCCAATTCCAATATATCTTTTTTTTAGATGAACTGACCACATCTGCACGCAGTATTCAAGATGTGGGCGTACCATGAATTTATAGAGAGGCAATCTGATATTTTCTGTCTTATCTCTCTTTCTTAATGCTTCCCAACATTCTGTTAGCTTTTTTGACTGCTGCTGCATATTGAGTGGATATTTTCAGAGAACTATCCACAATGACTCCAAGATCTTTCTTGAATGGCAACAGCTAATTTAGACCCCACCATTTTATATGTATAATTGGGATTATGTTTTCCAATGTGCATTACTTTGCATTTATCACCACTGAATTTCATCTGCCATTTTGTTGCCCAATCACCCAGTTTTATGCTACCATTTTATAAACTCTTAAGTTATTAGTATGTACCTTCCTATCAAAGAGCTTTGAAATGTATGGTTTAAAGTAGTGTTCCTTTATTCCTTTGGCTTCTACCATAAGTCCATCATGTAGTTCACAAAGTGTGGCAATGATGCACGGAGGCTCTTCAGAGGCCTTGACTTCAGCAGTGTGAAAGTCTGCTGGTAAACCTGGAAAAAACAAAAAAGGTCAGCTATGATCAATTATATTTCAAAAAGAACTAACAAGAAAAAATGTCTTTCAAATGCAAACACTAACGTACCTTTGAATGATGGATTTAGCAACTCTCTCCTATCTGGGTACAAAAGGGCATTTGCAAAAATCAGGTCCAGGCAGCACAGAAGCAAATGATAGGAATTTACTAAATCATCTCCAATCATACGGAAATTACCTTTAAAAGACAGCATATCACATCAAATAAAACCACAAAGTTAATCACTCAAAATGTGTACAATGCAGGCACCTAATGAAAACAGCTTACCCTTGGTGTAAACAAAGAGTGTCCAGCAGAAGTTGAACAGTTCTTTAACACTGCACTTCCTTCTACCAGGAAAAAAAAACAGGAGAAAAGGTAAGACTTCTATCCCATAATACGGGACTTTACTTGTTTGTTTTATGACTAGAGTTCCATTCTTTCCTCACGTAAAAAATATGGTCAGAACCTAAATTCCCTCTAAGCTGTGAGGCCACACAGTAGCCTATTAAGCACTGCACAGGCGCTCAGGGTCAGGCAGGGAGAGAGGCCTCTCCCTGCTGGCCCCAGCCCAGGACCTGCTGCAGCCAGGGGAGAGGTGCCCCTCCCCCAACCCAGCCTGGACCTTCCGCGGCTGGGGGAGAAGCACCCCACCCCTGGCCCCAACACTGTTGATTAATCGCAGTTAACTCACATGATTAACTCAAAAAATTAATTGTGATTAAAAAAATTAATCACACTGTTAAACAATAGAATACCAATTGCAATTATTTTGGGATGTTTTTCTACATTTTCAAATACATTGATTTTTATTACAACACAGAAGACAAAGTGTACAGTGCTCACTGTATATTATTACTTTTGATTACAAATAGTTGCACTGTAAAAATGATAAACAAAAGAAATAGCATCAAGTGAGGTTCTTACCCACGAAAGCTTATGCTCCCAATACTTCTGTTAGTCTCAAAGGTGCCACAGGACCCTCTGTTGCTTTTTAAAAGAAATAGCATCTTTCAATTCACCTCATACAAATACTGTAATGCAAACGATTGTGAAAGTGTAACTTACAAATATCGATTTTGTTACGTAACTGCACTCAAAAACAAAACAATGTAAAACCTTAGAGCCTACAAGTCCACTCAGTCCTACTTCTTGTTCAGCCAATCACTAAGACAAACAAGTTTGTTTACATTTATGGGAGATACTGCTGCCTGCTTCTTATTTATAATGTCACAAAAGTGAGAACAGGCATTCGCATGGCACTTTTATAGCTGGCGTTGCAAAGTATTTACATGTCAGATATGCTAAACATTTGTATGCCCCTTCATGCTTTGGCCACCATTCCAGTGGACATGCTTCCATGCTGATGATGCTGTGACGAAGTGGGACTGTTCTTAATGTTTCCTCTGAATACTGTGTGGGTGCCTCAGTTTCCCCTATGCATTTCTTAAGTCTCTAGGTGGTGGGGAAAGGCCAGTGTGCATAAATCACTGACACTCTGTCTCCCTGGCAACAAATGGCCAGGGCCCCTTCCCCCCCTGCAAGGAAATAGCTAAAGGTGAACAAAGATCAGGTGACCTCCTGGCCCAGGAAAGAGACAAAGCCGAGAGAAGGAGGGGCTGGAGGGGGTTGGAGAGTTGGAGCTACCTGGGGACTAGGAGTGAGGGCAGACGTGGGTGTCTGACTCTCTGAACCCCATAATGGACCCGGCCGAGGGGTCCCATTTGCCGCCGTACCTACAAGCTCTATTTTAGACCGTGTTCCTGTCATCTAATAAACCTCTGTTTTACTGGCTGGCTGAGAGTCACATCTGACTGCGAAGTGGGGGGTGCAGAACCCTTTGGCTTCCCCAGGACCCCACCTGGGCGGACTCGCTGTGGGAAGTGCACGGAGGGGCATATGCTGAATGCTCCCAGGAGAGACCCAGGAGGTGAAGCCGTGTGAGCTTCTTGCCCTGAAGACAGTCTGCTCCAAGGGAGAGGAGGCTCCCCAAAGTCCTGACTGGCTTTGTGGGGAGCAGTTCCAGAGCATCGCCCGGGAACTCTGTGACAGATCTCGTTAAAAAAAAAATCGTTAATTAAATTTGTGACTGAACTCCTTGGGGGAGAATTATATGTCTCCTGTTCTGTTTTACCTGCTTTCTGCCATATATTTCAGGTTATAGCAGTCTCAGACAATGACCCGGCACATGTCACAGTAGAGTTCACAAAACGCAAAAAGGTACTGATGTGAGATTTCTAAAAACAGCTACAGCACTCGACCCAAGGTTTAAGAATCTGAAGTATCGTCCAAAATCTAAGAGGGATGAGGTGTGGAGCATGCTTTCAGAAGTCTTAATAGAGCAACATTCCAATGTGGAAACTACAGAACCCGAACCAGCAAAAAAGAAAATCATCCTTCTGCTGGTGGCATCTGACTCAGATGATGAAAATGAACATGCACTGGTCCGCTCTGCTTTGGATTGTTATCGAGCAGAACCCGTCATCAGCATGGACGCATGTCCTCTATAATGGTGGTTGAAGCATGAATATTTATGAATATTTAGCACATCTGGCATGTAAATATCTTTTGACGCCGGCTACAGCAGTGCCACGTGAATGCCTGTTCTCACTTTCAGGTGACATTGTAAACAAGAAGTAGGCAGCATTATCTCCTGAAAATTGTAACCAAACTTGTTCGAGCAATTGGCTGAAGTAGGACTGAGTGGATTTGTAGGCTCTAAAGTTTTACATTGTTTTATTTTTGAATGCAGTTTTTTTTGTACATAATTCTACTTGTATTAGATGAATTGAAAAATACTATTTATTTTGTTTTTTACAAGGCAAATATTTGTACTAAAAATATAGTGAGCATTGTACACTTTGTATTCTGTGTTGCAATTGAAATAAATATATTTGAGAATGTAGAAAACATCCAAAAATATTTAAATAAATGGTATTTTATTGTTTAATCGCAAGATTAATTTTTTTTGATTGCTTGACAGCCCTAAAATTAATGAAAGTCAAAATTATACAAGTTATGTGAGGAACACCTCCCTTGTCCACAATCTCTCTAATCTGGCACAGGGCAACATTCTGCAACCCCACAAAGTCTTCCTAATTCTTCTTTTGGATCTTCTGACCCCCTCCTCGATCAGATGAGCTCCTGTTCTGCTATGATTAAGGCTACATTTATGTCACGGAGGTCATGGAAGTCACTTCCAGAAACCCCCGTGACATTCTCTGCTTCAGCCCCAGGGGCTGTGGGACTCTGGAGCTCGCAGCCTGGCAGGGTTCCAGCAACGGGGGCCCCTTGCAAGGTTCCAGTGACAGGCTCCTGAGGGGGCCCTCCTCAGGGTTCCAGTGACGGATGACAGTCTTGTCGGGGGGAGGGGTGCAGGGGAGAGGAGGGGACGCCTTGGGCAAGAGGTTCGGAGTGTCCCATTTTCTCTTTGGGAAATATGATCACCCAGCGCTGCAGCAGGAGGGGGTGAAGGCTCTGGGGTGGGGCCAGAAATGAGGAGTTCAGGGTGTGGGAGGGCGCTCCGGGCTGGGGTGGGGGGTGCACTTGGGGTGGGGGCAGTATGCAGAGCGGAGCCCCCCAGCTGCCCCTACGCGTAGGAGCCGGAGGTGGGGGACATGCCTCTGCTTCTGAGAGCCACATGGAGCGGCCCTGACCTTGCTCCCTGTTCTGGAGCGCCAGGGTGGGGCAAGCCCCAGATCTAGCTCCCCAGCGGGAGCTCAAGGGCCAGATTAAAACAGCTGGGAGGCCAGATGGGGCCCGCAGTTTGCCCACCCCTGCTCTAGGGGAACACAAGTAGCTGTTTAAAGGTGACCTGAACTTGCAAAGAAAAAATAATAGATTTATAACTTTTATTTTTAATAACTTTATGCTTTTCTGCATTAGAAGTTCAGGTTTTGTCTATCCTGGAACTTTATAGACAAACTAATAGCATTCTCAGATGGAATGAGGCTGAAAGTGAGAAATGACAGAGGGGAAAGGATTTTTAGCCAGGTTGATTAGAACTCGTTTTTGTTTACACCAATTTCACAACTACAATTAACACACATTTGAGAGAAAAAGTCAGTTGAATTAAATTACTCCTGGGGGAATTTTGCACCACTGCACACACAATTAACAAGCTGCACATATTTTTAATTTTTTGCATAGAAAAAAAAGCTTCTGGAAAGTTGCTTCAGTTCTGCTTTTTGCCCACCAGAGGGCACTATGGCACTAGAACAGAGCAGCAGCTCCCGGCCAGCTAGGGTGAAGAAGGCAGGCTCTTTCCCTTCAGTGCCTGACGGGCCAGGTCAGGAGACAGGGGATATGGGGAGACCGCATAGGACTGCTGTGGGGGTCAGACAGTGGCTCATAAGGGCTAGTGGGGGAGGACAGACTGGGGAAGGGAAATGGGAATGGAGGCGCAGGGCCACAGGGGGGTGTCTGAATGGAGGCAAAGACACATGGGGACAGGGGGAAGGGGTGCAGGGCCACATGGGGATGGGGGAGTGGGTGTCTGAATGGGGGTGGAGGGACACGTGGACAGGGGCAGATGTGCCTGACTGAATGGAAGAGGCTAGGGGTCAGCCAGGGTCTGCATGGGGAAAACTCCCTAACAATCCCTCCCAATAGCCCCAAAAAACCTGTTCCATACTTTTCTCACAACCCTCTAAGTTCACTCCCAGGCTCCTTCCCAGCAATTACTTCCTTCTCCCTCAGCTCCTCAGTTATCCCTAACTCCCCCTGTCTTTTCACTACTTCTGAGGGGTGCAGGAAATACGGTTCTGTATTGTAGTTTAAATGAATTATTACTCAGAATTCTGTATTAATATGCCTACTAAGGAATCTATTTCTCAAAAAACATTTCCTGAATCTTTTTTGTTGTCTGTATTGTTACAGACATACTTGCTGACAGGTATTTTGAAATAAATGACCAAAAACAATTTAAATTGGTGTGATTATAGTGTGTTATTTTGACAAATAACATGTGCAGAATTTTAAAATATTGTGCGCAGAATTTAAAATTTTTTTGTTACAGGATTTTAAATTTTTTGGCGCACAATTCCCCCAGGAGTATTCAAGTCCCCCTTCAATTAAGATATCAGAAACTCATATCGGTTGTAAAGGACTCCCAGATCTCTCTCCAGCAAAAAAAACAAAAACAAAACAAAACACAACACACCAAACCAAACCAGACTTGATCTCTCATATTTCTAATGTAAAACAATCAGAAAACTTTTTTTAAAATGAGTATTTTTTGTACATCAGAAAGAAGCACACAAACCCAATTAAAAAAAGAACTATGTAGGATACTTGACAATGCATAACATTACGCACCAATTCAGAAAAGTAAAATAATACTGTAGCCATCTGAATCTAAAGGAATCATTTCAGAGAGACTAATTACAAGAGATAGTATTTGACCAGGACACTGAGGCCAATACCCCTGCTCTTGAAAAAAAAGTGCTATGGGATTTTTGTTGAACACAAGTAATCAGAACTTTAGCTTTAGGTTTCATCTGAAGAATGGTATCTTCTGCATCACAGCACGCGCTTAATGCTCACCCAAACAGGGGCACTAGAGTTGGCCAAAGTCCTGGTATCTTGCAACCAATTGCATGCAGGATGACCAGGCAATTATGCAGAGCCCCACTGACATCAATGGAACTTCACAGGGGCATACATGCGACTAAGTGCATCTCATTGCAGAGCTGAACCCAAAAGTGACATCTATCAAGTCAACACTTTTTCAAAGTATAAATCATGGCCTTACCATTGCTTAAACAGAAGTTTTCAGAAGGGCTGTCAAGGGATTAAAAAAATTAATCACGATTAATCGCACCGTTAAACAATAGAATACCATTTATTTAAATATTTTTGGACGTTTACTACATTTTCAAATATATTTACTTTAATTACAACACAGAATACAAAGTGTACAGTGCCCACTTTATATTTATTTTTGATTACAAACATTTGCACTGTAAAAAAATAAATAGTATTTTCAATTCACCTAATATAAGTACTGTAGTGCAATCTCTTTTGACATTTTTAAGTTCAAATTTCACGATAATTATGTACAAAAAATAACTGCATTCAAAAATAAAACAAAGTCCACTCAGTCCTACTTCAGCCAATCGCTCAGACAAGCAAGTTTGGTTACATTTGCAGGAGATAATGCTGCCAGCTCGTTTACAATGTCACCTGAAAGTGAGAATAGGCGTTCACATAGCACTGTTGTAACTGTAAAAATGCGGCCTCTGGCAGGACACAACTGAGAGTATCAATTCAGGACAAATTGCTTAGAGCAGGGCACTTACAGCCAAAGGCTGGGTTTCCCCACACCAAACCATCCAAACAGAAAAGACTTCGGTTTTACCCCACTGGCTAACCAGAAGTCATACAAGCAATTCCCTTAGATACTCCAGTTCCCTTGTATCACCACTGGCACCGCTTCTTATGGGGACAAATGGTTATGAAAACCAAATACCCCAGTAAAAGAAAAAAGGTTCTCCCATCCCAAAGGGCCAAGCCCCAGACCCAGGTCAGTATACAAGTCAGATCTTACCCACAAATCACGCTGTTGCCAATCCTTTAGAATCAAAAATCTAAAGGTTTATTCATAAAAAGAAAGAAATATAGATGAGAGTTAGAATTGGTTAAATGGAATCAAATACATACAACAATTGCAAAGTTCTTAGTTCAGGCTTGATGGGATTACTGCTGATGTAAACCAATCATGTCTCTGGAGTACAAACATCCCAGCTTGGATGGGTCATTTAGTCCTTTGTTTAGAGCTTCAGTTTCAAGCAAAGTTCCTCTAGAGGTAAAAAGCGGGATTGAAGACAAAATGGAGGGGTTTCCAGGGCCTTTTATATCCTCTGTCATGTGGAAGGTAACCCCTTTTTTCTCCTGTGCAAAATCACAGCAACAAGATGGAGTTTGTAGCCACCTGGGCACGTCACATGTCCATGAATGATTCAGCTTTTTGCAGGGCAACGCATTGTTTACATGTTAGTTTGAACGTTCCCAGGAAAGTTCAGATGTGGATTGGCGTCTCCCAAAGTCCATTGTCATTTAAGTGTTTCTTGACTGGGCACTTACTGAGAATAGTCCTTTCTCAAGAAGCTGACCAAATGCTTCACTGAGGTTACTTAGAATCAAACACACTGAGATACAAGTACATAGCCAATATTCATAACTTCAAATACAAAAATGATACACACATATAGACAGCATAATCATAACCAGCAAACTACAACCTTTTCATAGAAACCCCACTTGACCGCCTCTGTACAATATTTGCTGCAAATATATAACAGTGGTTGCAACAATGATCCATAGGGTCAATGTTCATGTCAATAACATCACAACAGTGTCGCAAGATATTTATGTGCCAGATGCGCTAACCACCATTCCAGAGGATATGCATGCATGCTGATGACAGGTTCTGCTTGATAACGATCCAAAGCAGAGCGGACTGATGCACATTCATTTTCATCATCAGAGTCCGATGCCACCAACAGAAGGTTGATTTTCTTTTTTGGTGGTTTGGGTTCTGTAGTTTCCGCCTCAGAGCGTTGCTCTTTTAAGTCTTCTGAAAGAATGCTCCACACCTCGTCCCTCTCAGATTTTGGACGGCACTTCAGATTCTTAAACCTTCGGTCGAGTGCTGTAGCTATCTTTAGAAATCTCACACTGGTACCTTCTTTGCATTTTTTCAGATCTGCAGTGACAGTGTTCGTAAATCAAACAACATGTGCTGGGTCATCATCCGAGACTGCTATAACATGAAATATATGGCAAAAGTGGGTAAAACAGAGCAGAGGACATACAATTCTCCCCCAAGGAGTTCAGTCATAAATTTAATTAACACACTATTTTTTTAACGAACAGCAGCAGCATGGAAGCACGTCTTCCGGAATGGTGGCTGAAGAATAAAGGGGCATATGAAGGTTTAGCATATCTGGCACGTAAATATCTTGCAATGCCGGCTACAAAAGTGCAATGCGAACGCCTGTTCTCACTTTCAGGTGATATTGTAAATGAGAAGCAGGCAGCACTGTCTCCCATAAAAGTAAACAAACTTGTTTGTCTTAGCAAATGGCTGAACAAGAAGTAGGACTGAGTGGACTTATAGGCTCTAAAGTTTTACATTGTTTTGTTTTTGAGTGCAGTTATGTAACAAAAAATAAATCTACATTTGTAAGTTACACTTTCATGATAGAGATTGCACTACAGTACTTGTATGAGGTGAACTGAAAAATATTTTTAAATCATTTTTACAGTGCAAATATTTGTCATAAAAATATAAAGTAAGCACTGTACACTTTGTATTCTGTGTTGTAATAGAAATCAAAATATTTGAAAATGTGGAAAAACATCAATAAATATTTAATAAATTTCAATTAGTATTCTATTGTTTAACAGTGCAATTAACTGCGATTTTTTTTTTTAATAGCAGTCAATTTTTTTGAGTTAATCGCATGAGTTAATGCAATTAATCGACAGCTTTACTTTTCAGTAAAATCATTTAAATCTCTCAATATACCTCTGTTTTCTGCTCCTTTGTGGTTTAGGTGTTTCTTCATAAGGGTTTTGAAATACATCCAAAAATATGGGTTCAAACTTTCTGAAAATCACAGTTGATACTTCAAAGTTTCTCTCTAGCCTCTCCATTCGCTCCCGAAATTCCTGCGGCAGGTCTGACATGTCCATCCACTTTTTCATTTTACTAAAAAACTGAATTAAACTTAAAAAGAGCAACATTTGATTATAATTTAATCTCCAGCCATGAAACAGATCAAATAGTTTAGACTAAGATTCCTCCCCCCCCCCCGCCACATTCTTGATCTTTTCTTAAAAAGAAGGACTTTTGGTGAAAACCAAATCTGATTAATTTATTGCTTAGTAACTGCTTTAATTACAGAAAAGGATAAACACACTTTGCTAGACTCCAGTGCTGAGTACGTTTCACACAGTTAACTCTTACTTGTGGATTTCCTTTGGTTTCCACACCCTTACATGGATTAATTCAGATCAGAGAAGGTGGCTCGCTTTGGTGGGGTCAGAAAAACAGAAGAGTTGAGGGGCAGGGAAAATGTAATTTTCACAACTGGGTGCTTAACCAGGACACCTGTATTGAAGAATTAGGTGTTGAATTAATACTGAAGTGCATAAATACTTATGTAATTATATATCTCTAAGCACCCAAGCATTCGAGTTTCATTGTGAAATGGTCAGCACTTTCAATTTTGAATCCAACAATATGACTTCAAAACTCAGTAAAAAAATGCCATGTATTTAGTTTAATGAAGAAAGATGACTTGATTCATGGTCTGTAAATATCTATACAGGGGAAAATAATAAATACTAGTTGGCTATTCAATCTATACAAAGGTATAACATGAGCCAATGACCAGAGACTGTAGTCAGGAAAATTAAAGCTGGAAATAAGATTACTGGAAATTTTTAAATTGTGAGGGTGGTTAACCATTAGAACAGATTACCAAAGGAAATGGTTAATTTTCTATCACTCGGAGTCTTTAGATCAAGATTGGATATCTTTCTAAAACATAAGATCTAGTTCAGACAGAAGTTACTGGACTTGATGTAGAAATCACTGGATTCTCTGGCCTAGGGATGTAAACAGGGTGGATAAAAAAAAATCAATGATTTAAAAAAATATATATATATATATAAAAATCATTTTTTAAAATTTAAATCAGATTTTTTTGATAAAAATGCTTTGAGGAAAAAACCTATCTAAAGATAGTTTTAATTAAGATAAGATATCTTTGAGCTATAATGTATCATGGAATAGGGATTATAAATTGTAATTCTATAGTATGAGACAATATATTAATGTAATGTTTAAGAAAATTTTGTAAATGAGTTCCAACAGTTCATGGATTAGGGACCCAATCTTAAAGGGTTCCAGGGGATTCTGTATAGATTATTTGGGTTAATCTTTCTATCTATCCAATGGAAATCAGTGCTCAGTCTAGAAGATACCATCAGAGATGCTTAGTTTTGCAGTTCTCAAACTGGATTTGTGTCTCCAGAGGTAACGTGCTTGTTAACAGCAAAAATGTTTATAAATAAATAATATAGAGAGGTGAGAAATAACAGACTTCAACTCTATTGTCCCTCTGCAAATTTGTGTACACAGAGTCAATCCCTTATCTCTCTAAAAGTGCAAAGTTTCAAAAAGTTAAATGAATAGAAGATTGTTGGGGGCGGAACAGATCTGGACAAGGAGCAGAAGTCTGGAGCTAAATGTGAGAAGTGAAGGACATATGCTTGTTTTGTTAAAATATTATATGTTTGCTGTTGAAGAAAAAAATTCAGAATACTTATGTTGTTGTTTTAGTCAAATAAAATAATTTAAATGTCTGTCTGGTGATACAGCATGGGAAGAAAATCCTTCAAATATTAATTAACCTGTTGAATTGGAAAGAGTTCACCTCTCAATGACTTCATAAATATCTGCTTCAGTTACCTTTGGTAAATGAAACAACCAAACAATCATTCATTTTCTGATATAGCTGTAAAACGAATCTGAAAAGTTTTCAAAATAAATCACTGTTTAAAAATGTATAGTGTGTACCTTCTAAAAATGAAACCTACATCTGTCTCTGAGTTGTGAAAAATATGTATTAAGGTTATAACAAACAAAAATGCACTTTTATGTAGATAGCCGTGATTAAATTGAGTCTTCCTGAGTAGTGATTTAAAATCATTATTTAAATCAAATCCACCCTGGATGTAAATATTGTTTAAAAAGTTAACCATTTAATCGGTTAACCATTTAAATGAAATATTTTTAAAGGGCCGGCCCGGGCCCAGCCAGCGCGGGGCCAGACTGGGGTTAACGGTTAAGGCAGGTTGAGTGGGGCCGGCTGGCACGGGGCCAGACTGGGGATTAACGGTTAACGCTTACCTGTTAACCGGTAACACTACTGCTTACCAGTTAATAGGTTAACATCCCTACTCTGGCCTATGTTATGCAGGAAATAAGACTAGAGGATCTTAACAGTCCCTTCTGGCCTTAATATCTGTGAAAACTGGATAATGTGCTGGATTTTATATTTGTGCAATATCAATGATGCCCTACTTCCACCACTATGAGGAAAGTGCCATTCTGCTTTCAGTTAAAATGTAAGCAAAACAACAGTTAAAAGGGAGCAGATCTAGAATAAGGGAAAAGAAGCTGTGACTACACACAGATGTTTCGGTCTCTAGAAAAAAGCGAAAAACAAAACACAAAAGTACCTTAGTTTGGCTGACCGTAGTATCCTAGTCAGTGAAACGCAGTTTCCTTCCATAAGACCACTTCCAACAGTGGGAAGTATGCTTTTACGACAAGCAACATATAGAGCACAAGCCAACCAATGCACCACTTCTCCCTGTCAAACCAGAAGTAAACAAATCAATGGACAAACTTTTCCAGGGCAACAATGCTCAATTTGCAGTCTCAGCTTTTCATCTACTTCAAGTATCTCTAAAATCCTTTGGGACAGTAACAAGAACCAACATTTACTCAGGGTTGGATGATTATTTTTTTTAAATCTGGCTGGAACAAGGGAACCAAAACTACTTCGTAGGAGTGGAGGACTATCCTTAATTTGCATGGAACAGAGCAGACTGCAGCTGATTGTTCCTTTAAAAACAGACACTACGAGGCCTGCAATATGATTTGGCCACTTAGTTCACAATAAACCATTGCAGAGCCCTGAGGTCTCTGCTGTCTGCACCTCTGTATTAAAGATAACTATATGGTAGTACTGCACGAGGCCACAATCTGGCCACTGATCAGCTAGAAACCCATTATCTTTTTTGCAACATCGGTGAAGCCAGCCTTGTCTATTTTATGCCCCTACTATCACCTTCACACGGAAGTTCTTCCATGCTTCCTTACAGTTGGAATGCCCTCTCCAAACTATTGTTAGAGCCCATGGGAGCCAGTTTGCATAATTTTTGGTGGTTCCCAGAACGGGTCCAAGCAGAGCCAGGGCAACCGCCCCGGCCCCACGCTTCAGGTGGACACGGGGTCCAGGGCGGCCTGTCGCCGGCAGCAGTGAGCAACCCGGCCCCAGCCTGCCCTGCTGGCTCCCGGCATCACTCAGGGGAGGGGGCGGAAGCCGGAAAGAGGGCTTGGGGGGGAAGAGGTGGAATGGGGGCAGGGAAGGGGCAGAGCAGGGGCGGGGTGGGGGCATATTCAAAAGAGCTGTGTCATTATCATGTATAGACAGGAACAAATGTACTTAAACACAGTATGTCATATGTAAGTAGTACTAATAAAGTTGATATTCTTAGTTAAATAAATTTTTCTTACGATAGCGATATTGTGCAATATAGAGAAACTGTTAAACGCTCAGTATTTCCAGTCCATTTTTACATTATTTAAAAAAAAATATGTATCGGCTTACAAGGCAGGTATGCGGGGCGGGACTTGGACCCAGGGCCGTCCCTAGGGAGGTGTGGGGCCCAGGATAACCCCTCCCTCCACCCCAGGCCATGCCCACACTCCACCCCTTCCCCCAAGCCTCCACCCACGCCCCGTCTATTCCCACCCCTGCTCTGCCCTCACTCCACCCCTTTCCCCAAGCCCCCACCCCTTTTCAGCTTCCGCCTCCTCCCCCGAGCAATGCTGGGAGCCAGTGGGGTGTGGCTGAGCGGGCTGGGGCCAGGTCACCCACTGCTGCCGGCGACAGGCCCCCCGCTAACGCTTCAGGCCACCCTGGACCCCACGTCCCCCTGAAGTGCGGGGCCCAGAGCAGTTGCCCTATGGACGGGATGGCTCTGAAAATATAAGCCCAAACTTTGGTGGAGCTGGGCCCACATTCCTGAATATTGGTAAAGCACGGGCACCACGGACCCATATAATTCGCCGCCTATGTTAATGCCACTTGGTCCTCCTTTAGATCTCCCAAGACCCTCTTCTACTGAGATGCCTGTGGTCAATTGCCAGCTTCTACACTGATTTACCAGAAGAGCTTCAGTACATACAACCCTTCAGAAACTGCCTTTTATAAGTTATTTCTGAATTGTATAAGCAAATATTTTCAAAATAGAAGAATCACGATCCTAAAAATCTAAGCATTGCCTCTATCTTATTGCCAAGACACAGATTAATCAGGTCAAAATATAATTTATTTCTTTTAAAAGTCCTATTTAAACTGTATCTTGACAAGCTCCTCAAACTCAGTAGCTCCAAGCTTCCCATAGCTTAAATCAGGACAAGTATTAAACAATCCCTCTAGTCTTTCCCGCAAGTAGTAGGTGGTGTCAGTAAGCCAGCAGACCTGTCCAAAGCAGACATTATCTAACTGTGGTGGTATCTGGATTCCTAAAGGTTTTTGCTGTCTGGCAAAGGAGAAATCCCAGAAGCATACGATGATTTCTTCCTCTACTTCACCTCTAGCATTCCATACCTAAGGGTCTTCCCTCCTCCCTTTTCAGGGGGTAGGTGTTTTGCTTGTATAGTAAACCTCATCTACATGGGAAAGTTACACTGGTTTAACCGAAGGTGTGAATTTAAATTAGTATAGCTTGGACCCCAGAAAAAGTATGTCAGAAACTCTCTTAGCTAGCAGTGTTTGCACAAACTAAAGACTGGGTCTACAATACAAAGTAAGGTCAATGCAAGGCAGCTTACATTGACCTACTTTTGCATGTATCTACATTAAATTAGTCTCCCTCCCATGTAAATGCACCATTACACCGACATAGGAACACCACCTCCCTCAGCAGCACAAAGCCATGGTTGATGTACTTTGGTTGACGCAGTGCGAGTGTAGACACTGTGTTAGGGTATGTCTACACTGGAAACTTCAAAGCACTGCCATGGGAAGTCTGTGTGGTCACATGCTCTCCCAGCGCTCCTGGTAATCGACCTCCATGGAGGGTGTGTGTGTGTGGGGGGGGATTAGCTGCGAGTGCGGCTCCCAACATTCGGAGCCTGTCTACACTAGCGCTTTAAAGTGCTGACTTGCTGCGCTCAGGGGGGTGATTTTTCACCCCCCTGAGCTAGCAAGTTAGAGCGCTTTAAAATGTTAGTGTAGACAAGTTATGTTGACCCTAACTATCCCCCAGCAACCATCCCACAATGCCCCACACTGATCGCTCTGGTCATCATAGTGAACTCCACTGCCCAGGGGTCAGAAAGACTGGAAGCCACCCTCTCCCCTTTAAAGCCCTGCGAACGTTTGAGATTCCTTTTTTCTGATTGCCCGGCTTGGTGAGAAGACCTAGCAGCTCTCCATTGTTGATTGCAACTGCCTAGCTAACTATGCCATCCACACACTCCAGATGTGCTCCTGCTTGGAGTAGACAGGAGATAGTGGCTCTCCTGAGCTTGTGGGAGAAGAGACTGTTAAGGCACAGCTCTGATCCAGCTGTAGAAACATTGCCCTCTACGAGCAGATTGTTCAGGGGATGTAGGAGAAGCGGTATGACAGGGACCAGCAGCAGTGCCATGTGAAAGCCAAGAAGCTGCAGCAGCATACCAGGCCAGGGAGGCCAACAACCAATTTGATGCCAAGCCACAGACCTGCCGCTTTTACAAAGAGCTGCATGTCATTCTCAGCGGAGATTGCACCACCACCCTCAACAGCACCATGAATACCTCGAAGGAGCCTAAGTCACAAGCCCCTGCCACGAACAGCAAAGAGGAGGAGATGTTGGACAAAGAGGAGGATGGGGGACAGGTGACCGAGGGATCCAGCTGTGCAGTGAGCCAGGACCTATTTTTTACCCCACCGCAGTCCAGCACAAGCGAGCCCAATGCAGGGGAAGGAACCTCGGTTAACAGTGTACATAAATTTTCAATTACAGAGTTGTTCCCACCCCCAAAAGCAGCAGGACACAATCTTTTCACTTTTCATTAATTTACTCATGCTAGAAGACGTAGTGGTACAATCAAGAGAGGTAGAACAGCTATCTGATTTTCATTCCCCTCTAGAGCTAGGGACCATGCATAGCAGTTTGTTTATGTACACAGGGATGTCCCTTGAATCCTCCTGAGAGATCTCGATCAAACTTTCATGGAAGTACTCTGCAATCCTCTGATGGTTTCTAGGGAGGGCTGCCTTGTTTCTTCCTCCAAGGTTGGACACTTTCCCATGCCACTCAGTGATAACTTCAGCAGGTACCATTGCAGTACACAGGCTAGCAGCACGTGGGCTCGGGTAGCTTTGGGATGCCTGCAGCAGCTGCGTGAGAGCCTTTGTTACCCTCAAGAGTGAGATATCAGCTAAAATCACCATCTACTGTGGAAAGGGTGCCAGTATTCATTGTCACTGTCCTATATACTATTAGAATCATGCAACCAAGCAATTCCCTCCTCATTTCCCTTATCCCCCAGTAGGCCATACTCACCATGGCTGGTGCAGCGATTGGTGCCATGCACAAGAAATCCCAAGCAGAAGTGAGAATGTAGTGCTTAAAACTTTTGGGGAGCAAGTTCAACATCTTAAGTTTCACTTTCTGTAATGAATGCACCAGCAATAGTACCTCGGTGTGTTTTATCTTCAGCTGTTGCCACTGTGGCCTTCAGTCTCCCCCTCCACACCTGCGGAGCCACATAAGGTGGAGGAAGAAGAGGACTCGGGATAACATGTTCCAGGACATCCTGCAAGCCAGTGCTGCATCGGATCATAAGCACAGGGCCTGGAGGATGAACACTGCAGACAGTCTGGAAAAGGAAAGAGTGGAGAGGAGAAAGGCCCAGGAGTCCCAGCAGGAAAAGGAGAGGAAGATGCACCAGGGTACAGTGGAGCTTCTCAGGCAGCAAACACAGATGCAGCAAACTCTGGTGGACTTTCAGATTCAACAATCCCAGGCTTGCCTCCTTCTGCAGCCCATTGAGAACTCCATATTGAGACATCTCATAATCACCACCGTCCCCCCAACATTCCACATGGCTTCCGGAGTTGTTACAGTACCCTTAATGTCCATCGGAGTAGAGTGATAAAGACAATCACAGCTTCACATACAGATCTGTGAAAGCCAGAGTTAGTATCTGTGTAGCTGAAATGGACATGAAAATTCTTTCACTCTTCATAACTAAATTTATAATGTTTTTAATGTATTTGTTGTGAAGTTACAATTTTTTTGTACTGATTTTGTTCCAATAGAATTTTATTCTGTAACACAATTCATCTTTATTAGTTCACAAGATATGCTGCCGACTACTCAGTAGTTCTGAAAGCAACAATTTACCTGTTACTTCACGTCACACAACCTCCACATGACCATTCACAAAACAAATAGGTGAATTAATGTTATATTCCTACATGTACAGCAATCACCACACGATTCCTACCAGGCCACAAAAGAGCACACTACACCACCACACATTACTCTGGCTCACTATTAAAATGGTCATTCAAAGCCTTCCTGAGCCATATAGCTCTGCCTTGAGCCCTTGTATCTGGATGTTCAAATTCAGCGGACAGCCACGCCACCTCTGCCATCCACCTCGGCAGAAGCTTTCCCCCCCTCCGCCGTACATACATTATGCAGGCCAGAGTAGACAGCTATAATCATTGGGATATTTTTCCTCACTGAGGTCCTATCTTGTGAGTTAACAACACCAGCGACCCTTCACAACAAAAAGCACATTCAACTGTCATTCCACACTGGCTGAGCCAGTAGTTAAATTGTTCCTTGGTGCAGTTGGGGTGGCCAGTGTATGGCTAGGGGAAAAAGGGGTAGGCTGGGTCCCCCAGAATCACTATTGGCATTTCAACATCCCAATAGTAATCCGCTTGTTGGGAAAGAAATTCCCTGCTTGTAGCTCTATGAACAGTCCTCGGTTCTTAAAGATGCGAGTGTCATGCAGGTTCCCTGAACAGCCCACACTGATGTCAGTGAAGTGTCCCTGGTAATCCGCCAATGCTTACATACCCACAGAAAAGTAGCCCTTTCTGTTGATGTACTCAGTAGCATGGTGGCCTGGTGTCAAAATAGGGATGTGTGTGTCGTCCATTGCTCCACTGCAGTTTGGGAATCCCATTGCTGCAAATCCACCCACTATGTCCTGCACACTGAGAGAGCAGGAGGCAATTAATGGCCCCGCACATTTCCATGACAACGGCCCCCTTGGTAGATTTCCCAACTCTGAATTGATTCCCGACTGACAAGTAGCAATCAGGTTGCAAGTTTCCACAGTGTGATTGCCACTCACTTCTCCACTATCAGTAAAGCTCTCATTTTGGTGTTCCAGTACTGGAGGGCAGGTGCAAGCTCGGCACATGAATCCAGGAATGTGGACTTGCACAAAGTAGGGATGGAAATATTGATTAAAAAAGTTAACCAGTTAAATGATTAAAATTATTTCGGTTAACCGGTTAACCAAGGTAGCTGGGGGGGGGGGGGGAAAGAGGTCTGGCATGGAGGGGCCTGGGGCCAATCTGGCTGGGGTCCAGCACAGGCAGGGCTGGGGTCGGGACGACCAGGTTCGGGTCCCTCCCACCGGCCCAATGCGGGGCTGCCGGGGTTAATGGTTAACTTTGGTCAACCGGTAAGCCTAATGCTTACTGGTTAACCTTTTACATCCCTAGCTGAAAGATCTGCAGCCACTGCTCATCATTCCAAACCTGCATTAGAATGAGATCCCACCAGTCAGCGCTTGTTTCTCGAGGCCAGAAGAGCACTCCAACATCTGCAGCTATTCTATGAACGCCACCGACAACCTTGAATTGGTTCTCATGATGTAGCACAGCTATGTGTCAAAAAATCATCATCATGTTCCCCGCTGATTTGGTTTTTCAAGCACCTCTGCAAATACTCCAGGATCGCGCACCCTGTGCTTTCAATGTTTATGAAAATAGTGCAAAGCTATGCAGTCTCCATGCTTCTGTCAGAGAAGACAGACAGCGAGGAGGGTCACGTGGGTTTGTGGAGTTTTGAAATAAAGGCACAAAAATTATGGGATACAGATAACTTTATGAGATGTAGACAGCTGCAAACTGGGACGTGGACCCCATGCTCCCAGTCACTCCTGCGAGACTCATTTTGGCCCTATCATGCACTGCCAAAACTTCCCAAGACAGTGCACTAGGGAGAGGCAAGTTGCATTGCCAATGTAACTTGAGTCAACATAAGTCTGTAGTATAGGCATGGCCAAAGTATCTCCTGCTCCATCCAATATCAATCACAGATTCTCTGCCCCAAACCAGGTTAGATCAAACTTGGGGGCTGCTCTAACTTGTGCAAGGGAACTAGGAATCATATGGCTCTAGCTCTGGGGTGGGCAAACTATGGCCTGCGGGACCGTCCTACCTGGCCCCCAAGCTTCTGGCCCGGGAGGCTAACCCCTGGCCCATCCCCTGCTGTCCCCCCTCCCCTGCAGCCTCGGCTCGCAGGCTCCACTGCAGGCACAATGCTCTGGGCGGCGGGGGTGTGAGCGCCTTGTTGGTTTTGTTCCAGAACAAGGCACTCTTATTCCAGAATAAAAGTGTCACACGTGGACTCCAGCCCTGAATAGTTTGGCCTGGTCTTAATGCTTATTCTGGCATAACTATATCCACCAAGAGTGTGAATAAATGACACCCCCACCCCATCTACCAACCAAGCAACATAGCTATGCTGACTAAACCTCCAGGGTGGATACAGTCGTGAAGTCAGAAGAGGGCTTCCGAGGGCATAGCTAATATTGTTTGGGGAGGTGGTATTCTGGCACCAGAAGTCCTCCTGTCTGTCTCTGTACACTACACCTGCACCGGGGGCCGTACATGGCACTCTACGAGGGAGACACAGCCTTCATGTGTAGACAGGCCCTTATGCATTTTCTCTAATAAGTCACGCTTTACCTGAAACGTGTTTGGCCAACCCCCATTGGCAGAGCATTCATCTGCGGCCCCGCGGAGTACCAGCCCGGGTAGTCAGACCCCCGGGGCTGGAGTCTGATCCGCGCAGCCAGACAGGAGCCCTGGGAACACAGGCACACCCCGGAGCTGGTGTCTGCGCCAGGCCTCCTGTGTACAGCCTGCAGCCCCCCCGGCAGGTCCCCGCCGCGGGGCTCGCACGGCGCAGCGCTGACCGGGGCTCCCACGGAGCCGAGTCTGCCAGCACGAGCGCTCGCTCACGCCTCCGCCCCAGAGCCAGCGGGCGCCCGGGGGGAAGCCTGGGCTCTGCGGGGCCGCGGGCGGCCCAGGAGCTACCTCAGCAGCCCGGCCCCAGGGGCGCCCCGGCCGGCACGCAGCCCGCTTGCTCGGACACCGGGGCGGAGCGGCGTTTGCCGGCATCCTGGCGCCTCCTGGGGGTGGATCCCGGGGCAAAGCCAGATGGGCCCGGCGCCTGCCCCCTGACCCGTCGGGCTCCGGGCGGAGCCGGCCACGGCCCTGCCGCTCACCTCCAGGCTGTACGTGCCACGCAGCGCCGTGAAGTCCCGCAGAGCCTCGGCGGCACTGGCCGCGTCTAGGTTGAGGTCCTGGCAGAGACGGTCGATGGCGGCGCGGGCAGAGCCCTCCCCGGCCGGGGGCTCCTCCCGGGACATGGCGGCTCCGCAGCCCCCAGCGGCTCCGTGGGCCGAGCCCACAAGCCCCTGCGCCCTGCGCGCCAAAACCGTTTCACCCTTCCGGGCCCCGTATCCCTCCGCCCGGCGGGGCCCCGCTACCGCTCTTCCCTCGGGAGGGCCCTGCAGGAGGAGGAGGAGGAGACGATCGCCCCCCCCCCCCCTTCCCCGCTCTGCGGCTGTTGCAGCTTCCCCGGACCCCGCGAGCGGCGCTGACACTGGGCCGGCCGCGGAGGAATATGGGGCAGCGGCGGGTGCAGCACTGCTCCGCGTGACACGGCCGGGGAGCGGTCTTGTGCCAGGTGTAGTGTGAGCTGGTACAGGGAGAGCAAATTGTAACCGGTAGCAGTGACTGATCGGTAAGGGGGGGGGGTCTTATTTGCTAAATCTTGACAGTGGTGTGGAATGGAAGCAGGGCCGGCTCTAACTTTTTTGCTGCCCCAGGCAAAAAAAAAAAAAAAAAAAAAAAAAAAAA